TAGCACACTATAAGCTGTATGTTTACTCTCAACACACCTATAAAAATGCAAGGATTCGGATGCCTTGTACACACCACTGTCTTTGGTAGAAAGCAATGCAGATATGATATAGACTGACGTTCCTGCTGCTTCTGTCTCTCATCTTCAGGATTACCAGATCATGCAGCTCGAGAGCAAGATCGCTAAACTTTCAGGAGACAAGACAGGAGAGGAGCGACATGCGATAGAAGCTCAGGTTAAGGAGCTGCAGGCAGAGCTTGATGAACGCATGAATGCCAAGAACATGCTAGGTCAACAACTAAAACAACTACAGGTAATGGTATTAGGTCACCCTTGCCCAACAACTACAAGTTGAGTAATGATGTTAGGTTATGCATGTCCAATAGCTAAATCAACTACAGGTAAAGTAACGATGTTAGGTTATGTATGCCTAATAATTAAAACAACTACAGGTAGAGTAATTGTGTTAGCTTATGCTTGCCCAACAACTAAAACAACTACAGGTAAAGTAATGGTGTCAGTTTATGTTTACCCTAGACCTAAAATCACTGCAGCTAAATCTATGATGTTAGCTAGGTAACCAAACCTGCTCCAAAACTTTAAAAAAACTTATGACACATCCACGATATTAGATTATAGCTTTACATACTCCTTAGGGATTAAATCTGCCATTCTTAATGGGACTGAATTTTACGGAGCAGTCTCTGGCATTATCCGTTCTACTAATCAGCTTCAATTAATTAAGCTTTACAAGAAGAAAAAGAAATCGCTAGCAATATCTTGGCTATTATTTTAGAATACAATTACCAATAGATATTTCGATGTTGTTATGGAAGCCTCTGTTAGGCATGCAGGGGTTAATGTCATGGCGACGGCATGAGCTACCCGACATACTCACATTATGAATGAAATGAGTTCATAGGATTTTGTTGAAAACTATGAATTCATATTTATCTTGTGTTAAATCCAAGAAATTAACTTGCTTATCGAAATTATCGATCTCCCTTCGGGAAATCTTCATCAGGATCTTCACATCCTGATGAAGATTTCCCGAAAGGAGATAGAAAATTAGATATTAAAGATATTATACTCACGTTAATTTATGCGTTATGCCGACACAGGACAACGTGCGGCGAGTGAAGAAGGACATGGAGCAAGTAGTGGCAGAGAAGGCAACGCTGACCAGCAAGATAGAGGAGCTGAACCTACACAACGACAGCTCGCATCGAGAACTGAAACGCCTTGTATCGCGCAAGCAGGTATTACTCCCACGTCAGTAACCATGGGTTATAGTAACGTCATCGTGTCAGTAAGTAAACGTCAGTAACCATGGGTTAGAGTAACGTCACCG